TGTCCCACCTGTTTTTCTGCTAGACCCTTCCCTCACCTCCAGTAAAAACTTGGCCCTTTCCCTCACCTCAGCTTTCCTCAGAGGGCATTTCTCAAGGAGCCAGGCTGATCCACGTACTGAAAATCACAACCCACTTCTCCACTCACCTCTGGCCCTCTGATCCTCTTCTATTCTTGCAGAATCCTAATCACCTTCTGAGAGCTCACTTACTTAGAAGGTTATTATTTCTCGCCCTTTCCCTCCATGGGAACGTGAGATCCGTAAGGACAAGGGCCTTTGTTTTATTTGTGGACGCACCCACCGTGCCTGGGACAATGTCTGGTACACAGTAAGTGAATGAGTTCAGGGCAGACAGTGAGTTCAGAGTGAGTGAGCGTAAGCTCCTTTATTGATGCAGCATATATTGTATTTTTTTTCTTCCTCTTTGGGTACAAAGATAGACACCAGGGAAGAGATGAGAGGATAGGATTGCTTCATCCAGAAATTGACCTAACTATGCTTAGAAGTTGCTTCCTCAGCAGTTCTGTCCTTCCCTCCAGGGAACATCCTGTTACTGAAAGTTCCTTAAAATATCTTTCAGACTTTGTGTCAGAGGTTGTTATTATTATTTTTTAACCAGCAGAGAACCTGGCAAGAGGGGCGTGAGCCACCGTGGGGTTGGGTGAGATGTAATGGAGTAAAGGGGGCCCAGGGGCAGAGGACAGGGCTCGGGGCTGGGGCACCGGGGAGCGTGGGTGGTGGGCGGAGACTGAGAGCTGGATCATGTTTTCCCTGGAAAGCCACAAGGGTTTGGGTATAAAACGTGCAGGGCTATTCCAGTGTGGTGGTTACTGTGCGTCCGGACAGAGGACAGGGCCGTGTCTCCTGCGCACGCCCGTTGCTGTGTCCAACCCAGGCTGAGAAATGAGTCTCTTGTTGGGCATCTCAGGCCCAAAGAAGTGTAACTGAATACAGAAAGCAAAGAAGGCTGTGTCTGGCCTGCAGTGCCCACCGAGTTTTGGAGAAAGTTCACTGGTTGGGACCAGCTTCCACGCTCTCTGCTGGCGTCTGGTGAGCGTCTGTTGAGAACTGCTGTCATCCGTGATTTGGCTCCTTCTGGGCGGTTCTGAAAGGGGGTGGTGCCTGGTGCCAGGGATTTTGCTACAGATGTTTTTCCTGACTTTGTGTTCACTCTGTAAGGAAACGCAAAGAGGGAAATGGACTTCCCGCTTAACCTGAAGTCATGCCCCGTGATAAGCAGTTTCACTTCCTGCGTGGATAAACCCTGCAGGCCTGAAGGACGGTTGGGGAACATCTCGGTGAAACCCACCACCCTCCTGATTTACGGGAGGGCCAGCTCTTCCCCCATGTGACTTGTGTTTTGGACTCAAGTGTTTACCAAGAGTCTTGGCAACAGTCTTGGTTTCAGCCTGCAGATATCTGTTCAACACACACACACACACACACACACACCACCTCCTGTGTCTTCTGACTGAGCCAAAGCTGATTGATCTAAGTATAAGTCAAGTTTTGCAAGTTCACAGAGCCTGGGGACATATGGGCCATCTTATTTGAGAGCTTACGACCTGGAAGGTTAAAGTGATACTTCAGCACGAAATCCAGTGCCACAGGCCGACTGAAATAGTGATTGCAGCCCCGGCCCCAGGCAGTGGCTTGGAGGGGCCAATGTCTTCATCCTCATCCAGGACGTCTTTCCTAAAATCCAAGCCGGACAAAGTGCCCAAAGTCCAGATGCTGTGACAGCTCTTCTGTCTCACCTCCTGCTTCCCGTCATTCATTGCTCCCTCGTTTTACAAAGGAAGGCCCCCTCCGACTTATCTCGAGTCATTTTGAGGGCCTCGGTTCTCCAAGGCTTTGGTGTAAAGATCACTGTAAAATGCGTCTTAAAAATGATTGAGAACCCACGAGCTCTACCTCTTGATATGTACTGAATTTGAAATTAAGGCAGAAAACTTGTAACAAGAATACCCAAGCACATATTCCAGTAGCTAATAGAGCTAACGACCTCACACAGCGTACAGCCCCTGGAAAATTACATCAGACATGAAAGGAGTTTTCCTTTAGAATGTCAGGCCATTATTTAGGGTGGCTGAAATTCCATCCTTTGCAGCCGTTTAAATTAGGAACCGTCTAAGACGCAAACCTCAAAATGTGTGAGAGGCTACATGTATTTTTCAAAATTCTTTGGGGGAAAATCAAGCAGAAGATACAAAGACCCCCGAGGCAGGGCCACCACAGGTGCCCTGGTATAGCTGTAGCTGCCGGGTTTCAAGGAAACACTTCCCTCCAGGGCAATAAATATTTCCTAAACCACCACACAAGCCATTGGTGGTTTCATCCCTCACTTGAGAGGAGGTGGCCAGCTGGGAAAAGAGCCTGGTTCCTACGGGAACTGTAGTTTCTTGGCACCTGGAATTGTTGGGAGAATCTAGCCCAGCCATCCATGGAGGAGTTCCCTCCAGTCGGATGGAAATACTCCTCATCTTGGAAGGGTAAAGCCCGGAGATGTCTGTTCGATTCTGACATAGCGTCTTAGAGAGGAAGCGGTCACCACAGGGAGGTAGGACGGAGGCCCCTCGGTCCGCTGGTCCTCGAGGGGCCGTGTCTGGTCAGCAGATCTCGGTCAGCAGGACAGATTCCCATCTGGATGGCGAAGAGCAGAACCAGCAGGGATTTCTCAGCACATGGATCCGCTCAGGAGTAGCCCCAGCACAAAAGGGATCGGATTTCCATTTCTTCCTAGATCTGCTGCCAGACAGGGCCTCCGCCTCTTGGCCGAGCCTCTCTTGGTTCATGCCTGGCAGCGTGGTCCTTTTTGGTTTTTTAAACATTTCACTTCTTTGTTCGTGACAAGCTTTGAATTTTATAGTTATCAGATGGAACGGTCCCTACACAAGTAGATAGCTAGAAGAAAGCAAAATAAACTGTTCAGGCAGGAGGCAAATGGTGGTGTATTTTCAGGAATTCTGTTTATCGGACTGTCTTCCTCCAGTTCTTGATGTGGACTCTGTGCCAGAGACAGACATAGAGAAGTTTCCAGATTAAAGTAGAGGGCATATATGGCTGTGATTGTCTTCAAAAATAACCTTTTTCCTCTTTAGAATAGTTTTAGATTTGCAGAAAAATTGTGGAAGGACGGTTGGGGAATTGTACAGAGAATTCCCACCCCTACTCTCCGCTCCTACTGACATCTTCCCTCAGTGGCACGTTTGTTACGATGAGTGAGCCAATACTGACGCCCTGTTACCAACTAAAGCCCGAACTTGGTTCACATTTACTTTGTTTTTACTTAACCCCTTTGCTGTTCCAGGATTTCATCCGGGATTTAGTTTCCATGTCTCCCTAGGCTCCTCTTGGCTGTGACGGTTTCTCTAACTGTTTTTGTTTTTTAATGGCTTTGACAGTTATTTTTAAATGTATTTTTATTGAATTTATTGGGGTGACATTGGTTAATAAAAGTACGTAGGTTTCAGATGTACAGTTCTATACTACAGCGTTTGTATATTGGATTGTGTGATCACCGCCCCAATAAGTCTTCTACTGTCACCGTTTACCCCCTTTACCCTCTGTAGCTCCTCTCACCCCCCTTCCCTCTGGTAATCGCCATTCTCTTGTCTGTGTCTGTGAGGGTTGTTTTTTGTTTTGTTTTGCTTTAATTCCTTGACCTTTTCCACCCAGCCCTCCAGTCCTCCTCCCTTCTCACTGCTGTCAAAATGACCTTGACGGTTCTGAGGAGGACGGGCAGGTTTTTTTGTAGCGTGTCCCACCGTTGGGCCTGGCTGAAGTTTTTTCTCATGAGTAGACTTGGGTTGTCGGTTCTGGGGAGGAAGACTACAGAGGGGAAGTGCCATTTGCAGCACATCACATCGAGGATGCATTCTGTCAGCGTGACGTACTGCTGGTGTTGACCTCGATCATCTGGGTGAGCCAGTGTTTGCCAGTGTCTCCACGCCAAAGCTTTCCTTTTATTTTTCTTTCCACGCTGTCCTCTTTGGAAGGAAGTCGCCGTGCGCAGCCCGCGCTTACTAGTAAATAGGGTGAGTGATGCTCCCTCCTGAGGGCAGAGGACCCACGTTCATTACTGGGGAGGTCTGTCTGGTCTCCCCCTTTTATTTAATTATTTATTATATCCGTATAGACGCCTGGACATTTGTTTTATACTTTGCGTTACAATCCAATGGCACTTCACTTGCTTTCTTGCTCCAATTGTTCCAGTTGTGGCCGTTGGGAGTGCTTCCAGTTGCTCCCATGTCTCTGTGGTACCCCCATCTGTGTGTGCATGTGCTGTGTGTGTGTTATATTTTGTCCCAGGCTCATCTGACATGTTCCTTGCCCCACTTGAGAATCAGCCATTTTTCCAAGGAGCCCATGTTCCTTTATTGGAAAATGGAATTAAGGTTGCCTCTCTTTCTTTCTACTTGAAATTAATGAATCAGAGGTCTTCACACCTCGGAAATGGTAAATTTCTTTTTTATTGAGCACTGTTATCTTTGTGTAGTAACAGTGCCTCGCGGTGGTATAATAATTCCTTATGAGTGGGCCGATTTTTACTAAGGACTCGTTACAGCAGATCGTCTGAAATTTTTTAAACTGGCGTTTACACTGCTGTTTCTGGAATTGTGAGGTGTCCATGGTGTCCTAGGTGGCTACGCCACAGGGGACTGTCTGGGGAACCTCAGAAACCACTTTGCTTAATATTGGGACCAGCGAGTCCCTCCTCCTCATAGAAAGCTAAACATTGAAAGCATATGGCTTTGTTACCTAATGTCTCGCCATCAGGGAAAATGAAAGGATTTGAACGGAGGAGCTGCCTTTCAGGCCCCTTGTTGCTCATGGTACCCAGGGCTTAATCCCAGGTGTGTTTTTATTTTATTTTCCCCCCAAAACACCAGAACATTTTAAAAATTAACTTTGCATTTAAGACGCGAAGCAGTGAACCTAGAAGTAACAGCATGCCCGGACCCCCGTAGGGCTGTTCTCACGCTCTCCTTCCCCTTCAGGTCTGACCGAGACGGCGTTCTTCAGCTGTGAAGCCCACAATGACAAGGGCCTGGCTGTGTCCAAGGGCATTCAGGTCAACATCAAAGGTGAGAAGCAGGGCCAGTCCCTGGGAGGGGTGTGGGGGAGGACATCCAGAGCCCTGGCTTCCCCACTGACTGCCTTTGTGATCTTGGACAAGTCACCGACCTCTCTGGCTGGTGTTCCCCTCTCTAAAATGGGGATCATTACACAACCTACCTGGTCTGGAGGCTTAAATGAGATCACACCAGCCCGAGTGCTCACAACAGTGCCTGGCACATAAGTTTGCTAAACATTTGCCAGTTTAGCTCTTCGGGGTCTGGAAAGAAAATAGGCTGAAATGTTCACCATGACTATCTTGCCCATCTCCACTTCCCTCTTCCAGCCTGAACCGGTCCCCATTAGCCCTGAAGAGAGCCTGGGTGGGGGCAACTGCCGTTCTTGGTCCAGGAATGGGCTCCGTCCCTCCCGGGGCAGCTGGGGTGAAGCAGTCCTCCAGCTGCTGCCCCGAGGCGGGCGAAGAGCAGGCCAGGGTCACTCTCCTCCGGGCCCAGCCTCCTGTCTTTCTCTCCTCACCTCCCGTCCCTTTGCTTCCACTAAGCGGGGACATGAGGTAATGGAAGGCCCCAGCTGGTGGAGACATTCCAGTCCAATCCACTGCCTCATCCTCCTTTTTCTGTGGGATCAAAGGCATTTAAGTCTGAAACCGAAAACGGGAGGAAAACCTAAAACCTAGTAACAAAAACGTACATATTGTCTGTTTATCCCTCTTTCAATCTCCTTCCTCACCCGCTCTCACAGAAACTCGGGCAGGTTTAGGGTTTCAGTGTTTGTTCTTAATGAGGGGCCCTTTCAGAAAGTTCACCCCAGGAAAACCTGAGCGCAGGGCGTGTGGGCGCTGAGGGATGGGCAACTTCCTTCCTCCAGCCCGAAGCCCATCATTACCATTTTGCAAAGCTGGTAATTGCCCTGTGTGGGCAATTTCAAAGATTCACGAGTGGGCATGCATTTATAAAGTCATTGTCAGCAGGTATAAGCATCTTAACATTTAAAAATCCATAAAAGGTGAAGTACTTCTTTAGTTTTTGCTTCATACAGACTCTCGGCTAAGATGTAAAGATAAATAAATCCTGTTTCCAAAACTTAGGCTTTTGGCTCTTATTTATTTAAAAATTTATGTGAAGCCAAGCCTCCCTCCTTCCAGTCTGTTGTTAACTGTAGCATCCGAGGCCTAATTCTGATGTGGAAAGGCCGGCACTTTAGGACAGTTCTACAACCGCTCTATTTAGGGGAGTCAAACAGAATGCTTCTCTTTCCCCGCCTCAGCACGCTGTGTGTCTGCTGGTAAAACTGGAACTCCTGAACGTGGCCCCCCGTGTGTGCCTAACGTGGCCCAGCCCTCCTACCCATCCTGTCCTCGCTTCCCCACCTCCATGCCCCCCCACACCTCGCCCGCCCATGTCACCTCATTTAGTCCTCACCACCGCCCCCTGGAGCAGGGCTGTTACTGTCCCTTTAACAGAAGAGAGAACCTGGGGCCGCATCGCAGGCCAAGTGGCAATCACACTGGGCTGCTCGCTGCCTCCTCAACCAGCCGCCCGTGTCCTGTGGAGCGACAGGAGCTCTGGGGTCAGGCAGACCCGAGTTCAAGTTTCCGTTCCCCTGCTCGTGGCCTGTGGCTGGTTTTAACTTCTCTGATCCTCAGTTTCCTCATCTGTAATGGGGACGGTAAGACAACCCTTCTGATAGGGTTCTAATAATAAGGAAATGAGGTGGAGGCCATAACGGGGGGCACGTCATAAGCACACAGCATCATCAGTCACCATGTTTTACTATGTGTGATTATTACTGTTAAGAGTTAAATTTAGCACAAGAAAATAAGACCCCTCCCCCAAACTTCAGATTCTTTTTAGATTCTGATTGAAACACATGTCCATGTCTCACATGTCGCTGAGGACATTGCACGCTCATTATGCCCACCGCGCCCCCGCCCCCCCCCACACACACACACAGAGCACCGGCAATAGGTTCTTTTGCTTGAACTGACTCTCACCTTCTTCCTTGGCCTGGAAATTTCTACCCCTGTACACACACGTGCACCCCATACTCTGTGGTACCCCTCTCTTCTCCACACCGGGCCCTCTTAGCCTCTGCTCACATGGGTCTCCCCAACTCAGGCAAGAACCCCGCTAGGACAGGGCTGTGTCTCTTCTTCCCCATTTATTGCCCAGCAAGGTGCCTGCACACAGTAGGACCGTGGGCAGTAAAGGAGCTGGGCCTCTGCACATCCTTTCCCAGCTGAAAGCATTCCCTTCTTCAGTGGGCAGGGAAGCAGGCTGGGGCCCCCTTCCGTGGCCAGGCAGAGCGCCCCGTCACCGGAAGGCCTGTCTGCAGGCTCACGCAGTCAGCCTCAGGCATAGGGCGGCTCCTCTTTGAAACTTGTGTTTAATTTTTCTAATCGTAAGACATGGAAACTGATGTGGTATTGATGTGTCTGTTTGGTCGCTTGGCCTCCTGTGGTCTCTAATTGCATCTGTGTGTCTTTTTCATGTAGTCCTTCCCTCCCCACCAGCTGAAGTCAGCATCCACAACAGGAGCTCACACGGTGTCCTGATCTCCTGGGTCCCGGGCTTTGATGGCTACTCCCCGTTCAGCATCTGCAACATTCAGGTAAACAGACCTGCAGGATTCAGAGGGAAGTGCCCGTTTGGTGCCCTGTGGGTCTCCCTCACTTTTTCTCCCTCCAGCACCTCTGTTGAAAGTCCTATCCTCCTCCCGGCTCACTGTGCACCTGCCCGCCCCAGAGCCTGCCTCCTTCCTGTGCAAGGCTGGGGCCAGCCAGAGGGATCTGTGAGGCCAGGGAGAATTAATTTTTAAGGTTCAAAAATGCATCCCTAAGGTAGGACTGGCTTGTGACCAGGAGTTCAGGAAGCCAGGTACTCGTCATCCTGGCTCTTCCTGGGCTGGTGGCCGTGAAAGTACTAGTAGCACCTTAGCCCGTGGTCCCCGGGGGAGACCTGGGCCTTACAGACCTTGCAAGTCTTCACCCATTTTAACCACCACCTCAACTGGTGTAAAATAGAGGTCAGCCATCTTGCAGTGATTCCATGCCGAGATGTAAACTCTGCTCTGTTAGTTTTATAAACATGGAAAGTAACCCAGCTGTTTGTTTCCCAAGTGCCCCGGCCCAGGGCCTTTGCCGACTCCCCACTGAACCCCACACCAGCACTGCAGGCTCAGCCCCGAGCGAGCGGCAGAGCCGAGGCCAAGCCTGGGAAGCTGAAGCCACAAGCACTGCTCAGACCCTCTGTGTCCGGAGAGACATTGCGTGTGGGAACAGGCAGTGAGCACATGTGGATTGTCTGCTGAAAACGGGCATGTGTTCTGCCTGGTACTTTATCACGCAGTAGGGTCACGAATTGTTCTTAGTCTCATACATGTCTGGTCTTATTAGTGAAAATGATGTCAACCTGACGGGCCATTTACACCCACTCACTGTAAGGAAGTGACTTCTAAAGAATTTTGTGTTGACAACCGGATATGGGTGTTGTTGTTGGATTGTCTGCTGAAAACGGGCATGTGTTCTGCCTGGTACTTTATCACGCAGTAGGGTCACGAATTGTTCTTAGTCTCATACATGTCTGGTCTTATTAGTGAAAATGATGTCAACCTGACGGGCCATTTACATCCACTCACTGTAAGGAAGTGACTTCTAAAGAATTTTGTGTTGACAACCGGATATGGGTGTTGTTGGTTTTTTTAAAGTATATTTTAATTAATTTCAGAGAGGAAAGGAGAGGGGGAGAGAAAGATAGAAATATCAGTGATGAGAAAGAATCATTGATCGGCTGCCTCCTGCATGCCCCACATTGGAAGTCAAGCCCACAACCAGGGCATATGCCCTGACCGGAAATCGAACTGTGACCTCCTGGTTCGTATGTTGATGCTCAGCCACTGAGCCACACCAGCCGGGAACAACCAGATGTTTTAATACCAAATGGAATTAGCCTCCCTGCTCTTGTTGTCTCCCAATGTTACCTAACTGCTGCTCTGCTTTGAAGAGTGAAAACATGCGCTCTTCAAATATTTAAAATAGCCTGCCCCTCTCCCCGCCACCCCCAGCCTTGCTAAGTTCTTGCCCAGCTTTGTAAACCTCCCAAGTACTGGTAAGTGTCAGGTCCTTGTGTCTATAAAATCTTCACCAGGGCTATTTTTTAACAGCTTTTTCTGGAGATATATTTCACATACCATAATATTCACCCATTTGAAGTGTACAATTCAGTGGTTTTTCCTCGAAGAGTTTGTGAAACCATCACCACTGTGTAATCGTGTCTGTATTCACAAGAGATACTGGGCTGTAGTTTTCTTGTATTGGCTTCTTCTGGTTTCGGTATCACGATGATACCGGCCTTGTAGAATGAGTTGGGAGGTGTTCCTCCTTTTCTGTTTCTTGGAAGAGTTTGTGAAGGATCGCTGTTCATTCTTTAAATATTTGGTAGAAATCACCAGAGAAGACATCTGGTCCTGAGCTTTTTTTTGTGTAGGAAGTTTTTTGATTACTTATTCAATCTTTTTACTTGGTATGGATCTGTTCAGATTTTCTATTTCTGCTTGAGTCACTTTTGGTAGTTTGTGTGTTTCTAGGAATTTGTCCATTTCCTTTGGGCTAATTTGTTGGTATACAGTTGTTCATAATATTCAAATTATAATCTTTTTCTCTTCATTGAGGCTAGTAGTGGTTGCCCCTTTTTCATTCCAGCTTTTAATAATTTGAGTCTTCCCTCTTTTTTTTCTTGGTCAGTCTAGCTGAAGATTTGTCAATTTTATTATCTTAGCGGAGTACCAACTTTTGTCTTTGTGAGTTTTTCTGTTCTCTACTTCACTCATTTCTGCCTTAATCTTTGCTTTCTTTCTTCTGTTTGCTTAGTTTTCTCTTTTTGTTGTTGTTCTTGTTTCTTAAAGTGGAAGGTTAGACAATTGATTTTAAATTTCTTCCTTTTTTATTATGGGCATATATACTATTCATTTCCCTCTAAGCCCTGCGTTAACTGCATCCCCTGAGGTTTGGTATTTTTTGGTGTTCTTTAGTTCCTCTCAAGTTTTTTGTCATTTGCCTTGTGGTTTCTTCTTTTCCTGCTGGTTATTTAGGAATGTGTTGTTTAACTTTACATGGTTGTGAATTTTTCAAATGTTCTTTCTTTGTTGATTTCTAATGTTATTCCCTTGTGTTTGGAGGACACACTGGTATGGTTTCCATCCTTTTAAATTTATCAAGGCTTGTTTATGGCCAAGCATAACTTCTGCTCTGGGTGGAATATACTCCATGTGCCCTTGGGGGAGGTGTATTTGGCTGGGGCTGGGTGGGCTGTTCTGCATCTGTCAGATTGAGTTAGTGTATAGTTTTGTTCAGTTCTTCTGTTTCCTTGTTGATCGTTTGCTTGGTGATTCTATCGATTATGGAAAGTGGGGAGTTGAGGTCTCAACTGTTATTTTTGAATTGTCTAGTTCTCCCTTCATTTCTTTAGGTTTTTGCTTCATGTATTTCAGGGTTCTGTTTTGGGGAACTACGACGGCCTATTTCCTATTGTAGGGCCATGACTGTCCCTATATAGGGACATAGCTGAGGCGTGGACAGCCCTTTATAAATGTTACCCAATTGCTGAGCTGTTTGCAGAATCCAAGAGGACATGAGGCTCCTTCCACACAAGGACGGCTGCCTTCAGGGGGACTTTGCGGAAGCGCTGCCCCGCCTTGAGAGAAGGCTCTCAGGGTAGACATGAGGTAGAGTGGGCTGGTTGGAAAACACCAGGTCGCCCTGAAGGTGGAAGGTGATGACACACAAACTTCACCTGCGCTCCCTCTCTCTCTCTTTCTCTCTCTCTCTGCACCTTGGCTTTGGGTGGCCATGGCCTGAGTGAACAATCACCCTTTGAGCACCAAGTTGCAGCCTGCCTTGCCTGCCTCAGGTCCTGTGGCACCGGCATGGGTATTCTGCCTCCCTTCACCCACTCTCCTTTCCATCTCTGGTAGGGTGACTAAATTTAGCAAATAAGAAGAAAGTAATCTTACAAGTTAAAGTACACGAGTCATTTTGTGACATACCCATACATATAATTATTTGTAGTTGATCTGATACTCAAACATAACTGGGTTTTTTACTTTCTCCTGCAGTCCTAACAGGATTAGTCGGGTTGGTTTGAGAAGTTATAACTTACATTCTGCAGATAAACGATATATCCCCATTTCTGAGGGGACCGAGGATAGTTTTGTAGCAGGTTCCCAGTCCGTGACAGTTTTAAACTCTGACTCGGTAACAAATGAATGTTCTGGCCGAGATTCAGATTTACGCGGAGGAGCACACACCCTCTCGCTTCCTGTGGTCCTGACATGAATTCCTTCCTTCACCCATTTTTGGGCTGCACACTCCAGGTCTATTTTTAACTGTCCCACGTACTTCTTGCCATCTCATTCCCTCTTTTCCCCCAGGACCCACCGAGAAGGCCTGTTATAGAAACCCCGTCCTCTTCCAGGAACGGCTCTCAGAGCGCATCTTGCGCCTGGAAATGCTCCACACGTTGCTCCCCAAATGGTGGATGGGGAGCCACAGGCTTCCTCCACCTTCGTCTCCAGGGTTGGTCACCAGGAAGGAGGTGCATACTCTAAAGTGAAGGAACAGAGTGACTTCTGCCAACAGCCAGGACCCAGAGGAGCATGTAGCTCACTGCGTTTCCCCTGGGGGCTCCTCAGGCCAACTGCGGCTTCTTGTCGCCCAGTGGAGTCTCCAGTTCTTAGTCAGAGGGGAGGGGAGGCCCCACTAGCTCAGTATCATTTAGCAGATTCAAAATTCCAAAATGTTATTGGGAATGCCCCTTGGCCTACATTTCGATACCTATACGCTGTAATAACAGCCTCGTTATCCACACCCATGATTGCTAGCCCATTATTATGAGGAATGGATACAGGGTTTAAGATATTCCCCCCAAATTGCTCTTGGTTACTTCTTTTTTTAAAATTTAATATTGTTTTGTCTTTTCTGATTGATAAGTACTCCGTGTCATAGAAGTTTTGAAAAATTGCAGTGGAAAGATACCCACTCTCACACATCCTCACTCACAGACAGGAGGTGTGCTGACTGGACAAGGGGGAGGTTTTTGCTGGGAACCCCCCTCTCCTGCCTGTGCTTACAGAGGACGCCTGGAGAGGGATGTGGAGAGACTGGTGGGTTTATGAAGGATGCAGAGAAGGAACTCAGAAAGAGCTGATGTTTTAAAGAGCTTTAGAGAAGTTTGGTGGGTGAGGTGCAATGACCCTTTCCTATGTCTCCCCACTAAGAAATGTCATAAAATCTGAATTACCTGTGTATGCCTTTGGAACGAATTTATACTGGAGTGTAATGAGAGGGGGAATAATGGACAACGTGTCCTGGCTAGTGTGGCTCAGTTGGTTGGGCATCGTCGTCCCATGCCCGAAAGGTTGCCAGTTTGGTTCCTGGTCAGGGCACGGGCCTGGGTCTCAGGCTGGTTCCCCCGGTAGCGGGGATGTGCAGGAACAACTGATTGATGTTTCACTCTCACATGATGTTTCTCTCCCTTCCTTTCTCTCTAAAAATCAATTTTAAAAATCTTTTTTAAAAATTAAGAACAATGGACAACACGAAAACATACTTTTCTCTCTAAAAATCAATTTAAAAAATCTTTTTAAAAAATTAAGAACAATGGACAACACTAAAATGTTCTTCAAGGAAGAGCAGAGGGTCCTCAGGTTGCACAATGAAAAGAAAAACAGATTAAAACAAGCTCCAGTATCCCATCTTCCAAAGTAGGATTTGGGAAAGGTTTTCTTTAAAAGTCTAGAGATAGTAAATACAGGGTGTCCCCACAAAAATGTATATACACAACGGATAGCTCAATTTTGAAAATGAAATGTATTTTAATAAACACCCCCTTTATTATTATTCCCTGTCTATACATTTTTTGGGACACCCTATATTTTAGGCTTTGCCACCCTGTTTCAGTTGACTTTGTTGCATATTCTGTGAAACAGCTGAAAGAAATGGAGACTTGAGGCGGTCCTGAGAGAGGAGGGGCTATTTTATAATGTGTTATAATAATTGTAAGACAGTGATGATCATTTGCTCTGTCCCCTACCCCAACGAGAACACTTACTTCAGGCCTTTTCCTCAGGTCCTCAATTGTTGCTCCCACAGCATGAGTAACACTCAGTAATGCGGGTGTGTGGCCTGGAAGGAAGCAGGTACTTCCTTCCGTGGAGAGGACGGGCCACGTGCACAGGATGCCTGAGAGCCCACGTCTGACATTCCCGCCACTTTACTAATGCCGGGTCCACATCTTCACTTTTCATTTAGGTCAAGGAAGTGGATCCTCTGAGTAATGGCTCCGTCATGAATTTTAACACCTCTGCTTCTCCACCTCTGTATCAAGTCGAGCAGCTGCGAGCTCTGGCTAACTACAGCATCAGCGTGTCCTGCAGGAATGAGATTGGCTGGTCCGCCCGGAGCCCTTGGATCCTGGCCAGCACGTCTGAAAAAGGTAATTCCTGGTGTTCAGAATATTACTTCTAGTGGCATGTGATTAAATCCTTCCCAGTGGCCTGATTTAGAGTTTAAATTTTGCTTTTTGGGTCTTTGTCTCTGGAGGAGAATTTTATGGAGGTGGCCAGTGAAAATGGGAAAGAAACTTATAAACTACATATAAGTAATATTTTCTTTTGCATAAAAAGGTAATAGCAGCACACTCTTTATAACATATATTATTTTTAATTAAGATATAATAATATAAAGCGTTACTACTCATAGCATCAAACTCAAGAAAACTAATGAGCCCTGGCTGGCTTGGCTCAGTGGATAGAGCATCGGCCTGTGGACTGAAGGGTCCCAGGTTCAATTCCAGCCAAGGGCATATGCCTGGATTGCGGGCTCAATCCCCAGTGGGGGGTGTGCAGGAGGCAACCAATCAATGATTCTCTGTCATCATTGATGTTTCTAACTCTCTCCTTCCCCCTTCCTCTCTGAAATCAATAAAAATATATTTTAAAAAAAAAGAAAACTAATGAATTTGAAGATGGCTAATGTTCACCAAACCCTATGTGCCAGGGACTATATTAGATGCCTGACGCAAATTATTCATTTAATCCTCATAGGAGCCCTAGGGAGTAGATACTGTTATCTCTGTTATCTTACTCGTTACATCTTTAAACTTTAAAGAATTTTTTGTGTGCTTTTGAATTCTGAGTTTTTTTTCCCTTTTCTATGAATAGTGAATTCTGTTAAATTCGAGTCACACAATTTTCATTCTTTCCCAGTTAGAGCTCTAGAATGATCACTCAGAACCTCTTATGTGCCCTTAACTCCAGCCTTATACCATCAGTGGTATAGTCTTAATACAGACAGTGCAACAAGTCCAAATCAGAAACTGTTAGGGCTAATCCTTGCACAAATGAAACTCTAGTGCCAAAATTGTGAAATACCTCCTTTTCTCAAATGAGGAAGAAAAACCTTTGAGAACAATATTTATATGCTGTGTTCCACTTTCATTGAGTTCAGAATACTTTCTGATTTCTTCTTTGACCCATTAGTTATTTAGGTGTATAACTTAGTTTCCAAATATTTGGGGGGAGGGAGTTTCTGGAGATCTGTGTAATGATTTCTAATTTCATTCTGTTGGAGACAGAGGACATAATTTGTATCACCTGAATCCTTTTAAATTTATTGAGACTTGTTTTATGGTCCATAATATGGTCTGTCTTGATTAATGTTTGGTGTGCACTTGAAGAGAATGTGTATTCTGTTTTTTATTAGATGTCATATTCTATAAATATCAGCTTGCTGAAGTTGATTGATCATGTTTTTCAAATAGTACCTATTTCTATCCATTATTTAGAAAGAAGCATTGATAATCTGCAGTTATACTTGTGGATTTATCTCTTTCAATATGCAGTTCTAGCAGGTTAATTTTTATATTCAAAGTATGTTTCCTTTAGGGAGCATAACTTTGGTCTTGCTTTTTAATTCATTCAAATATCTGCATTTAAATTGGGGTATTTAACTCATTAAAATGTAATGTGATTATTCATATTATCTTGCTTACAGCAAATTTCATTTACATCTTTAAACTTTAGGTTTAAAGGTTGAGTTTAAATCTCACATTTTTATTTTTCTGTCTGTAGCCCTCCTTTTTTTCTTTTGGGTTAATTGAATATTTTTATTCTATTTTCTCTCTTTTGTTTGCTTATTAGCTATAACTCTTGTTTTCTGTTTTGTGTTTGTGGTTGCTTTAGGGTTAATAGTGTACATGTTTAACCTACTACTGTTTACCTTCAAGTGATGCTATACCACTTCATGGGTCATGTTGGAACCTTCAAATAGAATACTTCCATTTGATTCTCTGATATTTACACAATTGTTGTTATCTTACTTTTACAAAATATGTTATAAATTCATACTACATTGTTATTACTTTTGTTCAAACAATCAGTAATTAGGGTGACTTATATAATTATAAAAATATATAATTATCCCAAAAGTAACCATTTCTGATTTTATTCATTTTTTGGTGTAGGTCCACATTTTCATTCAATATCATTTTCCATCTTAAAGGCCTTCATCATTTCTTGTAGTACATATCTGGTGAGGACTTGAGCTTCTGTATATCTGAGAAAAATCTTTATTTTTACTTTTTAATATATTTATTTTGCCTTTCTTTCTGATAGTTTTATTAGATATAGAAGTCTAGGTTCACATATTCTTACTTTCATTACTTTAAAAATGTTGTGTCGCTGTCTTCTTTCTTGAGTTATTTCTGATAAGGAATCTACAATCTTTATTTGTTCCTCTATATGTAATGTATCTGCATGTATTTTGTCTTCGGTTTTCCCTTTATCATTGACTTTGAGCAATTTAATTATGGTGTGCTTTGGTGTAATTTTTTTACTTGTGCTTGGAGTTCATTGAATTTCTTAGATCTATATGTTTATGGTTTGCATCCAATTTGAAAGCATTATAACCATTACTTTTTCAAATATCTTTTTCTATTCCCACCTCTCTTCTTAGAGGACTCAATTATACATGTATTTGATCACTTAAAGTTGCCTCATAGCTCATTGATATTCTGTTAGTTTTTCCCCCTGCTTTTCCTTTTTTTATTTTGGATAGTTTCTATTGTATTTTCAGGCTTACTGGTCTTTTCTTGTGCGATATCTAATCTGCCATGAATTTTATCTCATGTATATTTCATTTCTCACATTATAATTTTTGTATCTTGTTTGTATTTTTCATGTTTCTACTTAACTTTTGGACCGTATGGAATGCAGTTATGACTGTTTTAATGTCCTTGCTAATTCTAATATCTGTTATTTCTATGGCAGTTTTGATTTATTTATATTCCTGCTATGTAGAAGACTTTGCAGTTTCTTTGTGTAGCTGGTAGTCTTTGGTTGCACTGCCAACATTGTGAATTTATTTAACCTTGTGGAATGCTAGATATTTCTGTATTCCTATAAGTATTGAACTTTGTTTTGGGACATTGTTAATGTATTGGGAAAAGACTGATCCTCTTGGATCTTTTAAAATTTGTGAGGCGGGACAGGAAAAGTGCTCAGTCAATTACTAACCACTATTGAGACAAGACGGTTATGTGTACTCTGCCTAGTGATCCTGGTACCATTAGATTTTCCAGTCTGATAGCTGAGAATAGACAGTATTCCTAGCCCTCAGTGAGGCCCAGGCACTGTTACCTTTAATTCTTCCATGTATTTCTTTTCCTGTCTCCATCCAGAGCATCATAGTGACTCCATGGCCTTCTCTTGGGCATTTGTCTTTCTTGGTTTACTCCCTCATTTTCATGGAGCACATTGTCCATTAGCTTCAGGGAGAATATGTAAAATATCAAGACTATGGGAACTTGCATGTCTTTATGTCATACTGGATTGATAATTTTTCCTAATATAGAATTTTATGTTGTAAATTTTTCTTCCTCAGATTTAAAAAGTATATCTGCATTGTTTTTTAGGTTCATGAGTTATTATGGAGAATTCTGATACTTGAGTTTTCTATTTGAACTGTTACTTAGTTTAATTTTTAAAATAATTTCTCTCTCTGATCGCGGTGCTGTGATGGGCTATGATGTGGAATTTGTCATCATTTGTTTGTCAACCACCATTCAGTGGTTCTTTAGATCTAGAAATGCAAGTGCTTTGGTTTTGAGACTTTTAAAATATATTTTGTTATTGACTTCAGAGAGGAAGGGAGAGGAATAGAGAGAAACATCAGTGATGAGAGAGAATCATTGATTGGCTGCCTCCTGCACGACCCCCACTGGGGATTGAGCCCACAATCCGGGCTTGTGC